TCTCTCACAATTCATGGTAAGTATTGCCGTGACAGCAACAGTGAGCTGATCATGGACCGTTTTTGTATTGTAACTCTTTGGATCTCTTTGGAATGTTTGCTTTCAATTTCGAAGGTATTTCAAACATTTTCAAGCCACTTCACCCCGAAGAACCTTCAATCGCTAAAGTTTAATCTACTTACCTCTGAATTCGTCTTTAGGGCCGACTGGTCTTAAGACTATCAGACATAAACTGCTAGGCCCTTCAGCAATACTGGTCTAGAGAGATGGAGACTCAATGCAAATGCCAGTTGGAAAACCAAGTCTTTTCCACAACTGAACTTGGTTCAAAGGAAGATTTGCTGGAAACCATGGCTTTTCCCATCCAAAGATGGGAGTTCCAGCACATTTCCCCTCCAAACAATCAAACCTCCCTCGTCGGCCCCACATCACAGGTGAGGCTACTCCACATCGTGAGTTTTCACCGCAAAACACCTTGCCACATGGAAAGCAAAACAGACTTTGGGCCTGAACAACTTTTCTAGGATGTTTGACTTTTGATTGCTGTGTTTTTGGTAAGGATTTAGCAAAGAGCGATATAATTTTTACTGAGAGTAGCGGGTGTGTTGCCAACAAAGTTTACTTGAAATGTACAGCGGGTACAAAAGCAAAATCAAGGTTGCAAGACTTGCGACAGAAAAACTGGGTATTGAACAAACACATTACTGTGATATATGATGCGAACTGGTGATCGAAGTAAAGCAAACCAAGATTGGTGGGCACCATTACGTTTGCAAAAAAGCGACCTCATACACCACCATCTAGAAATGGCTGGTCAAAAAATGGTCGCTCAAGGAATGGATACCCAAATCAAAAAACATACTCAAAATGATACGAACCGTGGGTTGAGGCTGCTGAGGGTCTAATATGTTAAGCCAAAGAGGTGTAACGGGTATCAAACAGGGCCTGTGACAGCGTCTACTCGGTCACGTGGCGCACAAATTACCTGACACTGCGCTGTCTGAGGTAAAACTGTTATTCCAACTGCGAAATTTGACCTGGGAATGTATCCTTCAAACATCTGACCGTTGGGAGTCCATGTCTATGTGTGGTTTCAGTGAAATTAAACCCTTGTGTTCTCCATGTGCTTGTTTAAAGTCTCGGCTAGCTCTGCAGTTGTGATAGTTGCAGTCAGAGGTACCACTTCTGCTCAATGGTACCTGTCGCTTGGGTTTGAAACAAGAACTCCTGGCAAAATTGTGCTTGAACATGGCTAATCCTAGATATTAAGGTATGCAGCGCAAATTATTCTTTGGCTGCATGTTGTTCCCCCATGCATTGTCCTTCTGTTCTATTGTACTGCTCACACAACTAAGATTGATGCATGCACAGATGTTTTTATAAATATGTACAACCACCGCAATGTAAAAAAGCACACCTATGCACAAACAAACAAACAGACAGACAGACGTGACGTGAAATGACGTGACCTTAACTTACATTGCACCACATCACATTACTTAAATTCACATTATATACATGACATCGGTCCATGCATCACATACATTTCATACATGGAATATACTACGTACATTCCATACATTGCAAACATCACATAGATTAAGGACACAACATACAGGCATACAAACACATATACACATATACACATATACACATATTCACATATTCACATATACACATATACACATAAACACATATACACATAGACACATACACACATATACACACATACACACATATACACATATACGCAGATAGGTAGATAGATAGACAAACAAATAGATAGATAGGTCGGTACATATAGGTAGGTAGATAGATAGATAGATAGATAGATAGATAGACAGATTGTATACTTAAATAGATTAGATAGATTAGATGGATAAGATATTTTATGCTATTGGATGGATTGGATAGTTTACATAGACTAGATCAGATTAGCTTTGCTTAGATTAGATAAGATGAGATTTAGATTAGATCAGGTTTATTTATGCATATTTAGATTTAGAAAAGCTAAAATTAGACTAGATCGAGAGACAGCCATACACACAAATAGGTAGGTAGATAGAAAGACAGATAGCTAGCTGGATAGACCGACAAACGGACGGATGGATGGATGGATGGATGGATGGAAGGAGTCGATAGGTATATATGGTACAGGCCTGCAACCCCCCCCTCCCCCCCCGCGATGGGGATGGTTCCTAGGATTGGATGTACTACCTCCCTGGAATCCAACTATCATGCAAGGTACCTCTGCTTCCCCGCCCCCCCTGTGGGGTGGGTTGGGTGTAGTATGTATGTACCTACGTAGGTTGGTAGGTATAGGCATGTATGTATGTATGTACGTACGTACGTACGTACGTACGTAAGTACGTAATGGTATGTATGTATGTATGTATATATGTATGCATGTATGTATGTATGTACGTATGTATGTATGTACGTATGTATGTATGTATGTACGTAATGTTATGTATGTTATGTATGTTATGTATGTTATGTATGTATGTATGTATGTATGTATGTAGGTAGGTAGGTATGTATGTAGGTATGTATGTATGTATGTATGTATGTATGTATGTATGTATGTATGTATGTATGTATGTATGTATGTATGTTATGTATGTATGTTATGTTATGCTATGCTATGTTATGCTATGCTATGCTATGCTATGTTATGTTATGTTATGTTATGTATGTATGTATGTAATGTAAGAAATGTAAGTAAGTAAGTAAGTATGTATGTATGTATGTAGGTATGTATGTAGCATGTATGCATGTATGCATGTATGCATGTATGCATGTATGCATGTATGCATGTATGCATGTATGCATGTATGCATGTATGTATGTATGTATGCATGCATGTATGTATGCGATGGGGATGGTTCCTAGGATTGGGTGTACTACCTCCCTGGAATCCAACTATCATGCAAGGTACCTCTGCTTCCCTGCCCCCCCCTGTGGGGTGGGTTGGGTGTAGTATGTATGTACCTACGTAGGTTGGTAGGTATAGGCATGTATGTAAGTATGTATGTATGTATGTAAGTATGTATGTATGTATGTATGTATGCGATGGGGATGGTTCCTAGGATTGGGTGTACTACCTCCTTGGAATCCAACTATCATTCAAGGTACCTCTGCTTCCCCGCCCCCCCTGTGGGGTGGGTTGGGTGTAGTATGTATGTACCTACGTAGGTTGGTAGGTATAGGCATGTATGTATGTATGTATGGGTTGGGTGTAGTATGTATGTACCTACGTAGGTTGGTAGGTATAGGCATGTATGTATGTATGTATGTACGTACGTACGTATGTATGCGATGGGGATGGTTCCTAGGATTGGGTGTACTACCTCCCTGGAATCCAACTATCATGCAAGGTACCTCTGCTTCCCCGCCCCCCCCTGTGGGGTGGGTTGGGTGTAGTATGTATGTACCTACGTAGGTTGGTAGGTATAGGCATGCGTGTATGTATGTATGTATGTATGTATGCATGCATGCATGCATGCAGGCAGGAGGGGGATACATATCTATCTAAATATATATATATATATACACACACATATATGTTTGTCATGTGTGTATACATATATACATATATACATATATGGGGGGGGATACCATCGGGGGGGGGAGGGGGGGGGTTGCCGGCCGCCGGCCGGGACCATAGATAGATAGATAGATAGATTGATAGATTGATAGATTGATAGACTGATAGACTGATAGATTGATAGATTGATAGATACAAACAGACAGACAAACAGACAAACAGATAGACAAACACATAGATGGGTCGGTAGGTACATATATTATAGATATGTAGATAGATAGATACAAAGACAAACAGACGGACAGACAGATAGACAGACAAACATACATATAGATAGGTCGGTCGGTACATAGATAGGAAGGTAGGTAGATAGACAGCATACATTGTGCACTACATTACATTACATTATATACATGACATTTCATTGCATTAGCATTTTTGTTGGACTTACGTGTTCACTTACACTGACACTTATACATTTCCCAATACGATTAGTATACATTGGGTTACATTCCATCACCTTTTACCTTACATTATATTCTTTTCCATTACTGTACTCACATTCCTGCAAATTACATTTCATTCCATGCCATTTCTATTGCATTCCATTGCGTTCCATTGCATTCTATTGCATTCCATCGTGTTCCATTGCATTCCTTTGCATTCCATCTACTTAGTTTCTGTCAGTTTACTTTATTCTACTTGGCAGTACAGTACAATATATACACACATCCACACACCCACACATACGAAATACATGCATTCCATGCCATTCCATTGCATTCCATTCGGCTCTAATCCTTTCCGTTGCAGACGTACAACGCACACTAGACCAGACCAGACATCACACCACACATCACATAAGAACACACACACACACATAGTACTTCAATATATAGAACACAATACAATACAACAGAGCGCAAAGAAGCAACCTACACAAAATACACGCACAATACTATTGATTATTCGATTATATAAGTATGTACATTATTATATACTATATATTAACATAATCTACTGCATATATTGTGCATGCATATGTACACATTGAAGTGTGCACAAGTATTGTCTGAAACATCTTGTAAGTGTCCGTTTTGGAAGATGGATAGATCTTTGGCAAAATCGGTGAGGTGATGGCTGTCCTATCAAAACATCACCCAACTGCTAGGGATATTTCGGACATTACCTCCACAACCGAGTTTCAACCCTTCATTGGGCATGATTTTTCTATGTCTTGGGACGGAAACCATGAGATCCTAGAAAATTGTACAAGCCACCAGGTAACCAGAGTTTGTTTCAACATGGGGTTGTACTTTGCCATAAATCCAGATATCACATGGGCAATAAATCCCATTCCCATCCATTCCCATACAACGGATCAAATATCCTAAATCAATCTACTGTAAATCAGATTTCCATCAACAAAAACCATCATTATCCCATATTCTGCTCAGATGTTTCCACGAAATCCTGCATTTTGGACGCAACATGTGGTGCCGTGGTTGGCAGCTTGGCCTTGGCGCTGGAACTTTTCTCCCAGAACCACGCCGATCTGGCGTTCCTCCCACTTGTGCAAGGTGAAAGCTGGCCTGGTCTCAATGGGCATGGCCATCACTTCATGCCAAACAGCTGGGGGAATGACTGGAATGACGATGTTTTGTTTGTTTGAATATATTTTTCCGGCCCTATTAGCCCTGTTTATTTGCAGAGCAACATGCTCTGCTCGATGGGGCAAGGAAACGCCGACATCTGGAACAAAGGCCAGAAGAATCTGCTACGGCAGTGAGAAGAATGAGCGCTTTGAAGCGCAGCCTGTTCAAAAACACATGAGTTTGATTCAAGTCCTTGTGTACCTCAAAAAACAAAAGATTGAACGGTTGATCATACAGCTGAAATATCTGCAAAACTATGTGTCGCTGGGTTGTAAAGTTCATGAATCCTTCTTGAAACCTCGATTCACGAACTTTTCTTGGGAGAAAATGATTTGTCTTGGACAACTCAACCCCCCATAATGCCAGAATGGTCGCCCTAAGATCAAAGATTCATGAATTTTGGGCAGTAGCCAGTAGGAGAATTCATCTGCAAGTTGATATTGGCATAAAGGAACCGGGTATAAATACGCGTTTGTATGGGTTTGTTCAAAAATGGGGCATACCTCAAAATTGCAACTTCGATTGGAAAAATGATGATCAAGCACTCAAGCACTGGTTCTTGGGGTGACCCATATCTACTATAGCATGGTGATGGAAGACAAAGGCATTGTTTCTCAGCTGACACATTTTGATACCTTGCTTTCGTCCATTGATCATCCAAGAGATACCCTCAAGTAATTTGACAGCTACGGAACATGACCCATACATTACCTTGAGCGAAATGGTGATTTTCCACAGCTATGTTACCTTACCAAAGGGATCCAAAGGGCAAATTGTCATTCCCAAATAAAGTCTTCATGGCCAGCCAAATGGCCTACCATGTGCATAGCGGTAGTTGCCTCAGCCCGGATCCAAGAAAACATCACTGACTTCAATGGAGGTCCACAAGTTGGGAACATCCAAAATCCAAGGAATCATAAGCTTTCTCCACCATTTCTCCTACTTTCTCTACTTTTTATCACATGTGTTCACTTTTTGTTCACCTTTGCAGCTTTACAACGCTTTGCAACCACATCTAAACTGTTGATCTTGTTGGTTCATCTATTATAACCTTCTGTTTGGTTCCCAAGCTTGTGGGTTTCATCTCACCATTTCACATGGCTAAACTTGTGTTGCTTTGTTGGGAACCAATCCTACTTGCGCTGGAAGTCAACTATGATCCTACTTTTGTCATAAAAAACCCTTGCACGTGTTGATGAATTTGTAAGCAATATCACGCTTGCTGGGAACCAACATCCAACTTCTGTTGGTAAACAAAATCATACTGCCCTAAGACAACGACATGTTCCTTTGTCTCCTTTCTGTGGTCCATAGGTGCAATGGCAGAGCTGTCCAAAGTTGCCTAGGCACAAAATGCCACAATGTCACCCGTCTGCCACTGGACGCGGATGCCTCCCTCGTCATAGAGACTGACCTTGAATAAGATCGCGAATAGAGCCGATTTCGCGTCGTTCAAAAAAGCTGCAAAGTAAGAAGCCCTATTCACTAGCCTGCATGAATGAAGTGATAGATACATGGATAATATCTTATTCGGTATAATGATACCCTCCAAAACAATTTCGCTTGGGAAATCCCTGGTCAATGGTAACAGGTTATCCCAGAAGGTGAACCTCAAAGCTGATTGTCTCTCTGCTGATTCAGTATATTCAGTTTTTGGTAGCATGGCTGCCTCAAACTCCTGAGAATCAGGCCCATTGCTGCAGCTCCTCCAACCTTACTTCGGTTGATCAGGCCGGATATCAGACAGATTTACAACACACCCTTTAAAAAGTGAGATGTGAGGATTAAGCAGTCCACTATGGTATGGGTGGGTCAAGTCCTTACCCCATAACTGTGACTGCCAGCCATGACTTTGGATCCATCCCCATGTCTTCGCCATGTTTGAATTCCTGGGAGGCATCCCTTGAAACTGACCAGCAACGTGAAGGGTGTGCCATCACCAAAAGTCATCTGCAATGGACGCTTGGCGGGCGGAACGTCATGCACACCCTGGCTGCCGTTGGCCAGGTGCTTGTTCCCCCGAAAACCCCTGGGGTATATGTGAGGCAACACCATCATGTGCTGGGTTAGGGTCAAATAATGTCAGACGATGCAATAAGCACAGTGTGTAGGGCATTGTAGGGCTACGAGAGACCTTTTTAGTTTGGTCACCTAAGTCATTGAAAATAGGATCGTTCAACCCTGCACACGCAAACCAACAACTCGTGGCATTTAGGGCTACTTGAATGAAGTCAGTCATGCTAAGTCCAAGTTTGGTACGCCCCAAATGAGATGGTCAGTGCTAGCAGATGAACATCTGTTGGTCCCAGTGCCTTGAATTGTGGCCGTGGAAAACCATGGAATTTGGCAGGTTTGCACACTGATTACCGGTTGCATCAGATCCAAATCCGCATCATGTTTGCATAGTTTTCATGCCTGCCATGCTATTCATTTTGCTCCACTGAATGTCATCACTTGAGCTGGAAACAGGGAGAAACCAGCTGAAAACCTATGCATCTCGAAGGTGAATGACCTAAAGAAGGAGTTGTCCAATCGGCTAGCAAGAGGAAGGTTTGGTCGCACCCCACAATGATGGGCCACTGCTGATATACAGTGCATGAGGAATCATGAGGAATCATGAGGAATCATGTTGAATTCATTGGACTTACGGAATTCAAATTGAGTATTTCCAATGACCGTAGCAAGATCTAAGTCAAATAAAACACCGTGAGTTACCGAGCGTCCAAGTGGTGACCCCTTGAGCCGTCCTTCCAGGTATCAAACCACATGTTGTGATCTGCGATGCTGCCTCAGCCGCGGTGATGTCAAGGCTCAAGGGATTTCCATTTGGGGTCTATCCCATGGCCACTTGGATATTCCCAAAATGCTGCAACTGTGGAAACAATAACAAATGCCTGCTGGTATACCATTTGCATGCATTTAGCAAGGCATACAGTACCTACAATACCCACTTGGTGGTTGAAACATGGGAGGTTTGCCAGCTGTGCAACTCCCAGCCACTTTTCACCACATGATGCCACTTCATTATGATCCAACAAATGATGATGGCTCATAGCCAATTTATTCCATCCTGAACCTTGTTGGCCCATGTGAGCGCCAGAAATTCTTCTACATGATGTCAAAAGCAGTGCCAAAAACTGGATCAATCTGGACCAATCTCGATATTTTATCATCATTCATCTATCCTAAACTGTTGGGCTCGGGCTCGAAATGGATGGTGTCTCCCGACTATGGCTATAGCTATGGGTCAAGTCCTGGAAGACCCCATGTTTTTTTTCGTGGCGGGCAAATGGACGTCTCCATACAAAAAGATCTCAGAATTTTGAGGTTCCTCCAAGTTTGAAGTGGTCAGAAGACTTGATTTAACATGTAGTGTCCATCAAGTTACGAAACATCAACCGTCATTCTTTTTCCAGCGTACAAATCCTTCCACCAGTTTGAGATGAGCTCAACGGCATGTGATTCACAACTCCCCAGGTTTCTGCTGGGGTGCTGTAGAGGACATTTCGTCCCACTGAGGGACAATATTCGAAGGCACTGATAGTCAGCCTGGCTCTGGATCTGCTGATGTCAACTCGAATCTGTAGGGCTTAAGGATGGTGGATCCCAAGCAGGATCCAATTAGTTAGCTCACTGATTAGTAGCTGGGCACCAAACATGTTCCAATGTTGCGAGTTGCACTATATCACGGTGCCTAACCACTCCCAGGATTATCCAAAACGAAGACAAATGAACATGGGCTACGTCAAACTCGAATGCTCCAACGAAACAACAAATGAACTTGTCATTTTAGGCAAAATATCTAACTCCTGGCTACGTGCAAAGCTGAAACCATTTTGCTTGTGGCTCCGAAGATTGAATATATATATATATATAGTCCTTTGCAGCAACATTCTTGTTCATGACAATTCTTGGGGAGAAAATTCATCCATATTCCTAAATGTACATATCTGATCATATCTGATCATATCTGGACATCTGACAGCCAAATTTATACCACCCGAATATCCGAATATCTGCCAGGTGGTTCCCAAGAAGCTTGGTCTTCATGTAGCGCTTGGAGTCGGGTTTCAGCGGATCTTCGCACCACCTTGGGATGACCCAATGGCTGGGCCACTTTTTGGCTCCACATGGAAAATGGCTGTGTTGCGAATTCAGTTCATCCAGCTCCGAACTTTGATCATTGATGATTTGATCTAAAGCTGATTCCATCCTTTGTGGCTTGTCCCTCCAGTCACTTTTGGGTCACACACACAAATACATATATTCAATCTATGTGTTGACATCAGTGTATGTATTGTACTTGCTTACCATTACAAAAATCATTGTGCTCAGATTTTTGAATATCTTGAAGACCAGTCAAATACAACTTTAATCCCATCTTCCCAGGTATTTTAAGGTTCCAAAACAGCTCCACTTCTTGCCCAGTTGCTCCACATCAAGGCCACAGTCTCGCGCCACTGCTTCAGCCTCCTGCGGCCTGTGAGACCATTCCATTTTTGAGTGAAAGCAGGCTGGGCATTTTCGGGAAAACAAATTCGGGTTGTTTCTCTTGCGTGGTGCACATATGAATATATGTCTCCATCTTCGCCAAAAAACATGATGTATGGTGAGTATGCATCCAGCAAAACACTCATATGAGTTCTTATCTAACCTCAATATGTTGAGATCTAGTCCTTATTCTTGGGCATGACATGTTGGGTCACTTTGGGGGAAACCAGCACCATGCACCATGGAGCTCTGGGAAGGCATCCATCCAAGGCACGTTTCAACACCAAAGGAGAGCTGCCAATGATTGTACACCTTGACACACACACATGTGCCACATCACCATGCGAGTAAAATTGACCATCAAGAGCAATTACCCATGAACATCTATAAAGCAGCACCAACATGCACCAACCATTTCCGGGTAACATGCACACATGTGATCTTATTTTGAAGGTTCAGTCAAATCGAAAAACACGTTGGGATGGCTGAAGCATCAGCATCCTAGATTCAGACAGTAAATCCAAAGGCACACAGTCAGACCATTGATGTCAGTTCTTTGATCCATCTACACCACATGGTCAGCCATAGATACCCCTTTGGCAAGTAATCCAGGGGCGAATCCCGCATTTTCTGGTCAAAACATGTGGTAACATGAAAGTTTAGTCGCTCAAATTCTCGTTCGCTATGGTTTTGCTAAGGATTTTATTTTTGCGATTGATATTCAATCTTTTTGTTGATTCCAGCTGTTTTCATAGTTCGAATCAATAGTTTTTCGGCCAGCGAATCCAAATTTTGGACCAATCACGGTCTTTCTCAGTCCCAGTTATTAATTCATTGTTTGTCACATATATTTTGGTCAAATCTCCATGTCTGGAAATCCACCAAGGGTCAGAGGCACCCTGGAGCCATCCTTTACCCTGCGCCGAAGGCGGTTAGGAACGTTGCGAGTCCAATTCCGTCTGGCCCCTTTTTTGGGTTAGGAACATGGAGAAAAATCAGAAAACCATCAATTTTCAACGCATCATGTCTTTGATAAATGGTATATAATATTATATAATGATCTTTTCAACGCAACAAGTCTGAAAAATTACATCGTACTTTGTTGGGTTCCTGTATTTATATTGAAATCAAACCCGGGAAATCTAGGTACAGTACTGTACCCAAAAAATGGAACGGTTTAAGAGCCGCAAAATGACCAAGAATGACCAACATCCCGGGATTATGTCGCACCGCTTGGGAGGTCAAACTTGGCCTTCAATTAGACCACTCAATACAATCAAAGTGGTAAACACGCAATTTCTTTTCCAAAAAATAAATGATCAACTAGTGATTT